AAGAGTTTATTAAAATATGCTGGAAATATTTAAAGAATCTTGCTTGGTGTAACCTGTCAGGAAAGACGCAGCTGGGCCCGCATTATATTTTTTTTGGACGAAGCTGTAGTGCGAGGGAGGGTGTCCCTCCCTGACAGGACACACACATAGAGGGGGAGGGGAGCTTTTTTTTTCATTTTTTATTTCACAGGGATCCCACGTCAATCCCACACTTATGTGAGAGTAAGTCACTCAGGTGGACAATTTTCTTCTAACACAATAACTTTATTCATTTTTTAAAAAAATACATGTGGGGTCTGCCCCCTTTGTGAGGGCCCTATAAAGCTCCTGTGAAACATTATTCTGTATACTGGGCATTATTCATAATTAAAACAAATGGATTAGTATCATACATGGATAAAGCCTTTGTAAATGGGATATTGCCAGGGATGAGATGACAAAATGCTTTGTAAAATTCTCTGGCTAGCACAACTCATAATATATATGCCAGCAAAGCACCCTAAACAATTGTTCTAATAAATTCAATTTTGTCATGACTAGTTAAAGGAATTCATGAAGGTCGATAGAAATAATTGAAGTAAATTCTAGCAATTAAGTCCCAGTGATGGAGTCTTGAGGCACGAATCTTACGACAAGGGAATCAACGGTTGATTGTGTAGGTGGATGTAGATAGTCGAAGTAGATTCTTTCGATTGAGTCTCGGTGGTGAAGTCTCGAGGCACAAATCCTACAACAAGGGAATTAATGGTTGATCGCGATTCATCTTTCGCAACGGTAGTTTGTGTTAGGAATTTACTTAACATGCACAGCGGAAATAAAACAATTTTCAATTCCCAAACGAGAATTTGCAATGTGTTTAGATAGAAATTGTGATGAGATTGATACTTTTGATGAATTCCACAAACTCTTTTACTTTTTCTTGAACTCCAATGATCACGATCTGCAATCCAAGCTGTCAAATTGTCCAACCTCCAATGGTGATCCACACAGAGAACAAGAATGACGGTTAGAGTTTCTTTTATTGTGCTAGCAAGAATAATAAAATTCCATACTGTTTTCAAACCCTAGTAGCCTATTAATACAAGTCCAAATGGGCTTGATCCATCTGTTAAACTTAACCCGGTCCAATATTTAATTAATCAAATTAATTAAATCTGGTACATGAATTAATTAATCCAATTAATTAATTCGGGCATATTAATAAACAACCCAATTAATTAATTATCCAACACTTGTCAATTAATTAATTGGTAAATCTCATTCTTCTGATTCTCTTTTGTGTGTGACCCATT